TGCATGCTTACGAGGAACTGAAAACGCTTACTGTTAGTGATGTCGACAGAGCCGTTACTCTGATCAATGAGCACGGTGAGCTTTCGGATTCCGGCAATACAACATGATCACGCGCAAGGATTGTTTTGTCATTATCATCTGCTATGTTCTGAATGAGTAGCGGCAAAATTTTTACACAGTGATCGACTCAGTGGGCAAAATTTTAATGAAACATTGAAACCCCTGATACGCGGAGAATGTTATGTTCCAGGTTTTATGCGTGAGCACATTCCGATGGCTCTGATAAACAGCAAGCCTGTATGGGCAGCTCTGCTTGCCAAAATGCCAATGATGGCCCTGCTAAAAAATATGTGCAAATTAGCTGCTGTGGGCATTTTGGTTGAAGCCGACGAAAACAGGTATGTCCGAACTGGAACACAGCCAGGAGTAGAGTTTTTTAGCGTCAGCTGGGAGGCTGGACGCAGTATCCGCATTCACCATCAAAAGAGATTGAAGGCATTTTTAAAAAGCCTTTCGTCTTTGCTTCTTAGTGATTTTCCTAGAACTTAGTCAGAGGCAAGGAACAACGGCAGCGCACCGACTGCCGGTGCGAAGATACGTTTTTTACATAGTTCTCCGCAGGTTATCACTAACAGCATTGTTTTTTCCTGCAGATGGTTCTTACTAAAAGAAGTGAGACTGGCCGCCAAGACTCTCGGGAAACATCTCCTTAAAATTCCAGTCTTCTGGCTTTCCAGATTCCGAATTTCGCAACTTACCTACAAAAATCTTGGACCCGTACGTGGGACCTTGTGAGTAAGAGTGCCCACTTTGGGGTTGTGGGCCCGTATATGCATGCAGGTTAAGTTCCCGAAGTTTCAGCCTTGTAACTTTTGTAGGCCTCCAGATGAAAAAGCGGTACGGCCGAACACACAGACAGACACACACACACACACATACACACACATAGACATAGCCCGCGACAATACGCGTTTTTTCATTGCACAGATGCCAAAAACGCATAAAAATGGCAATGGGACAAGAATGCTGAAGCAAGCAGACATGGAGTCTGAGCTTAACCAATGAGTTATGGCAAACTTGAACTTTACTCGAAAGATTGTAATGAATCTGACTTGACCTAGTGGATTCTGACTGGAAAGAAACCAGTTTAAGTAATAAAAAATCGCGGCATTGACTAGGGTAGCCGGTACGATCATTCGTCTTGTGAAAACATATCCAGCGAGCGTTTGTGCAGTTTTGCCTGGCGAACGCTGCTTGTGCAATTTTATCCAGGGAAACCTTGCTGTTAAAGGAGTCCACTGCATTACTGTTTGATAAATGCAACAATTTTTGTGGTTCGTGGGTTATTGACTTTGACAACAAAACTTCCACGTTCCTGTACGCGAGATCTAGGCGCAAGCGAAGACTAATTTATGCGCGTCGGGGAGCATTTTTCTGAAGTTTTAACTT